CACATGTTTTTGAAATGAATGCTGACATCCAGTGTAAGACCTGAGGAAAGATTAATCTTCTAAAGGAATACATTTATACTGAAATTAGCCACACACTGATGTTTATATCTTACCATCTGGATGATGGTCAAGTACTTCTTCCACCACAGGTACTTCTGGATCTTAGGTCCGCAGGAGGCCAGGCCATAATACAGGTACATCAAGACGTGGATGGCTGCGTTCATGTGTGCACCAAAGAATGCTGCAAATGCAAAGAAAATGAAACATTAATTTTGTCATGCTAATGGTGATATAATGCAGTTTCGTTACACAAGTTTGGTTCCTATAAACCCTTTACTGTACCTTTTTCCATTTAATGACAATGATGACATTTTTTCCACATAAAGATTAACCAGAAATAATACGGCCAATTGTCCACTGAGATGGATTGTGTATCCATGTCTCTACAAAATGTTTTTCATACTGTTGGCATGGGCAGATTATGTTACAAAGAGGCCCTAGGCACAGACATGTAAAAAGCTCCTCCTCCTTCCTGCCAACCAAAAATATGAAAGGACTCAAAAGCAAAAAAAAAAACACATGACCAAGAAATCCTCTTTGGCTCTCCAACAAAAAATGTTTTAAACTGAAGATCTGCATAACCTCAGGACTCCTTCACCCCTGTAGGCCCCTGGGCTTGTGCTTGAAGGATGAGCTACTCACACTGTCCTCCTGCCACCCATTTGATGCCGATCCACCAGAGCGTGAACATGGTGCAGTGGTGGTAGACGTGCAGGAAAGTAACCTGGTTGAATTTTTTCCTCAGGATGAAAAACACTGTATCCAGATACTCGATGCCCTTAGAGACGAAATACCACCACAGAGCTCCTGCTACCTGTCTCAGACATGAACATGAGACATGCGTTGAAGGGAGAAGACAGGCACAAGTGGAGGAAGGAAATAGAAACAAATAGGGAAACACAGACACTTGGAGAAACAGAGGAGTAGTTCTTTAGGACTTCTTTAGGAAATATGTTATATACTTTTCTAGCCTATTTGACAACATCTTAACCTCAGAGCCACCTGAGACTGACTTGACTGTATCACATGTGTAACTACGTCATGGAGCAGCAGGAAGGAAGGTGAAACTCAACACCTTCCGCGATCCCATCTTCCAGCTCGCACTTTTTCTAATAACAGCAGGGGCCAAATGAATGGAAGCTGATCATGTTTCTAAAACCACCGAAGCTTCCCTGTCACACTCGCAAAGGTATTCTTCATCATTAATGTACAGTAGAGCACTATAATGTAGACAGACTTATCTGTGAAACATGTTACGTTGTGGCAAATTAGCAGAGGTGTCTTGTTGCTTCTGGAAACTAGTTACAGCAAACACATAAACCATATGAAAGTAAGTTACATTATAGGGCAGATGAGGTTCAATCCAGTGTGGTTAATGTTCAATTTTCATGTAATACAAATGAGTGTGTGTGTATGTGTGTGTGTGTGTGTGTGTGTGTGTCCTGCAACACTCACCCTGACTTCATTGGGGTCATCTGAATAGTCCACTGGTTGACAAATGTAACTGTAGCTTGCCGCCCGCGCTGCCATAAAAAGCTAAAAAAACAAGAGAACATATCTATTGAATCACTGATATAAGTGAACAGAGGCAGAGGAACACAGTGAGAATGGCGGAGAGAGGAAGAGAGATAGAGTGCAGGCAGAAAGATGGATACGCAGTAAGGTTAGTCTGAACCCACGAGGCTAAAGTGCTATTGTAATGTACTCATGGGGATGGATAGTTATGGTTTGGGATAAGACTTCCACGATTTAACTTGGTCCCTGCAGTGTTTTCACACATGCAGGTGAGCAGAAGAACATGTAGTTAGTCTCTAATAGTCGCCTACCTCTTTGAAGATGAAGAAGTTGAGGAAGACCATACTGAAGTTGTAGACGATGAGGGTTTTGCGGAGCTGGAAGGGCTCTCTGTTCTTCATGTATTTGGGCCCCAGCCAGAGGAACAGCAGGTAGGAGGTGCTGATGGCCAGCGTGGGCAGGGGGTTGTCCATCAGAGGCCATTTCTCCACTCGCTTGTCTGAGACAGGACAGATGTTCTCAAAGCATTACACAACTATTCTTGATATTGGCATTAAACTGACACAGTGCGGCTTCAATGTCAGTTTATTTAAAGAGGAGAACAGGTCAAATAGGTGCTGAGAACAGATTTGTCCCGAGGTGACCTGTCTGGAGGTCAGTTTGGCGTAGACACCATTGTTTAATGATGCATGTGATACATTCAGAATGTCATATACGTGTGTGGGAATTTATGAGGCGAAAGATACTGTATCCATCCAACATTCGATTTAGCAGTAAAGTTAAAGTTATTAATTAAAGCAGACGTCTGACTCTTACTCACAGCAGGAAAAATGTACCTGTAGATGTATACATAGTGCATATAAGTGGACACACAAGAAGATGTGTACATACTGACACTATTTATCTAAACTCTCTTGCACTGACTCTCAGACATGAGAGAAATACAAGATTATTACCTGCAATAGTTAGGGTCCATTTGTAGAATTCTATGGTGTCATTAATTAAATGTGTGACAATCTCCATGGCTGTGGCCGATGACCTAAAATTAAAGAGACAGGTGTGAGAATAGAGGCCTGTAAAGTCTTTTAAGCTGCATTTAGTAGACAGAGCTCAATCCACTGAGTAAGAGTGGTGTCATCTTCCGGGAGATCAGCAATCAACAATGTCACTCTAACCATGCTTATTTTTAAACTGGAACATGATAATAATTCCATTTATACATCAAAATGATTAATCTTTAAATAGTGTGAAGGCCTAAAGGAAACCCATGCTAACAGACGGCCTATAGGAGTCTGTTGCCCCATGAGGCCATAATAGATGGGCTATAGGCTTCATTGCGCACAAAGGCTGGGAGCCCCGGCCGGCAGAGTGCATGTGTCAGCAGATTTTTGGGCTTGAGCACGACCACCAACCAACCTGATGGCCCTTATAATGAGGGGGAGGCCTCGTGCCCCACTTTTACATTGAAATGGGTCATCTGCTGTGTAGTGCCAGACTGACGCATAGGCTGATAAGTAACGGAGTGCACAGTCAGACACACAGAGTGATTTAATGATCCTATAAGGATGACGCCCCCTCTCTCTCTCCCTCTCTCTCCAGTGTGGAGCGGATCAAGCGCTGCTGCAGCATCTGTCCTACACGAGCTCTCCGCATTAAATTGCTGTGAGAATAAACCCAACCTCACTGTCTGAACAAACATTCAACCCCACATGTCATATTTCTTAAACGCTGAATGTGTTTACAATGGGATGAACCATTTCAATGGCGATTTTACACTCTGCGGCATGCAGTCCGGCCTTCACCCAGGCTGCATGAGCAGTCCTGTTATCAATATGATTTTTCCAAAATGCCCGAGCTGTTTCCATCTTAGATCTGTACAACAACATGACAACTGCCCGTGAAAGACAACATCAACACCAAGACTGCGCACAGGCCACACACAGCAACACATAATATCGCCATCGGTCTCGCCTTCCACTCCGTGCGAATGAGGATGCTTATTATCTTACCGTGTCGGTGCTTTAAAAAAAAAATCCCTCTATAATGACATTCAAGGTTGCAAGGGGTCATGCAGTGTGCGGGGTTCCCGGCTGGGATCGACTGGCTTGTTCTCTACGTGGGATGTGGATGAAGGTTGCGCCGGATGCGTCAGAGGTGAGAAGAGGGAACCGAGGCCGGCCGAGTAAAACGCGCGGCGATGGCATCAATCTGTCGGTAAGGGGAGACGACTTAGCCGCTCACTGCGCCGTCCTTCAGTGAATTGGCCTCCTCTGATCCGCCGCACAACGCGTCCCAGGCAGAGCGGGGAGGAAGTACGAGCCTCAGCAGACTCCGTCACTCTTTCAAGAGGAGTAGAAACTGCACCTCGTTCGACAGCAGGAAGAATTTGAATCGGAATGGTACATCGATTGAATATATGTAGTTAAGGGACGTAATTATTGAGAATATTAAGGAAACGATGGTAGTATGTGTTAAAATAGAAAAAACGTATGATAAGGAAACAGCGACGTAGCAGGTACAAAGCCCGAACTTCCATGAATAATAATAATAATCATCATCATCATCATCATCATCATCTTATTATTAGTAGTAGTAGAAGTAGTTTTATCATTATTACAACAATCCAGAAAATCTTTTCAAATGTCAATGCATGGGTTTTGTCAATAATAATTGATTGTTTAAATGAATTAAATCATCTTGTGTGTATTGCTGCCGTTTGAGCGCACGTTCCAGTTTTTACTCTTTGAGTCTCCAAACCAAATCCTTTAATCTGAAACCCGTCTCACTGTGTTTCCTGTCTGCTGCTCGCTGTCTGTGTGTATCTTGATGCGGCTCCTCTCCTTTGGCGACACTTGACTGGGATGATGGGAAGATGCTATGCGCATGCGTACAAATGGAGGCGGATGCAGCAACAGCAGCGCTACATCAGCTTCATCAAGTCGGCAAAGCACAACAAGAGCAAGACGGTGGTCTCACCTTCACAATAAAATTGTGTCGCCTAATTGGAAGAAAAGAGTAAAAAGTCGGTCAGTAAAATAGATCAAATAGGACATAGTCAACTGCATCATGGTGCATAATAAAAGCAGCTAATTACATACAATTATTGAATGAGTTAACCAGCAAACTGCCAGTGTTTAAGAGGTTGTTTATTAGGAGAGCGTGTATTAAAGTTATTTCCCAAAGTGTAGCCTAAACTATACGATTTTGTTTCACGCAGAAAAAGCCACTTATAAAACCCGTTATAATTGCCTTATTCTGTATGTTGTTGCTTAAAATCTTAGGGGCTTTATATTTCCATCAAATATTTCAAAGACTGGGGATGAGGTCGGTTAAAGAAAAGCGGCAATCAGGTTAATGGTTTTATTTTGAAATTCCTGACCAGGACCCTGTATCTCACTCCGTCGGGCTCGACACTCGGCGCTGCACCGGCTTCTCTCTTGTCCTCTGCTGTACGAGCTATTTGTTGTTATCTATAGATTACATGTTTTCTGCCTGGCGTTGAGACACGCGGCCCAGCAGCGCACATTGTGCGGTCTTCACGCAGGGTTGATATGCGAAGAAAAGCGGAGATGCGCTCTCTGGACTCACTTCATTGATGGTCGTGAGCTCCCATCATAGGCCTTATTCCCTGGTATCTGGAGCTAGTTCCTCATATGAAAATGGTCCGGTGAAACACTACGGATCACTGAGGGTTTTTCAGCGACAAAGTCAAGACTTTCTTTGGAAAAATGAAGATTTGGAGCACGGAACATGTTTTCAGGTTGGACGCACTGTGGTTTATTGTTTGGAGTATCCATTAAGCAGAATGAGCAGGGTTAGGTTGATGGGACCTTCAACTTCATTAACTGGGTTTAATCACATCTGAATCTAATTATACTCTGAAGTTTGTGGCTTTATGCTTCTGGTTAATAAATTCTACCTGCTCTCATGGTGAGTTACTATGAGCATCTAAAACCAGGAGTCAGCCACAACCACATCCTCCACAGGCACAGTTCTGTCCTACAGAAGTGTTTTTGCTTAATTAAGCACTGACTTTAATAACCCTGTGCACTTGACTTAATTAGGAGATCATGAAACATATTTCTATACACTTTTTTCTATACAGTTGATCAAATTTGCAGCATGTTTTAGCCGATAGTGAAATTGAATATGTCTCTTCCCCTTCATGTACTGTTCTGTGTGCAGTTACCCATGGGAGACGGTGATCAAGGCTGCCATGAGGAAGTACCCAAACCCCATGAATCCCAACGTGGTCGGAGTGGATGTGCTGGACCGCAGTCTGGATGAAGAGGGGCGCCTGCACAGCCACAGACTCCTCAGCACAGAGTGGGGCCTCCCGAGCATTGTGCGAGCGGTCAGTCATATAGAAATATAAAGGCATACATGGTCAGAGACATACATGTACATGTATTCATGGGGAAGATAAACTGGGCGTTCATAAACTGATTCTATTCAGCTGAAGTGAGTACAATCAGTGCGTAAGCACGTCTGGTGACAGTTGTGTCATGCACATGTCAGGTGATATTCAGGCTCATTATACTGTACTTCCTGTGTATTATTGTGTCCATAGATACTGGGAACCAGCCATACGCAGACGTATGTGAAGGAACATTCCATAGTCGACCCAAAGGAGAAAAAAATGGAGCTGTGCTCAACAAATGTAAGTTTATACTGAGTCCATCTGCCTGCCATGACTTCAGTCAGCATTAGTTATACAGTTCAGTTAGATAGTGAGCCACAGCAGGAGTAAAATCTACCACTGCTGTCGGGCACACTGAAATTGAATCATAATGCACTAGTGCTACTTTTTCCTAAATAAGAAAAAATAACTCAGAGGATATACTATGGTACATTGTAATGTCAATTGCTGTTTTCAAATCAATAGTGTGCACTGTCTTAACATTCAGTGTATCCCATAAATAAGGAAATCCAAATGTATTTTATCTTCCAGATTACTCTCACCAACCTGATTTCAGTGGATGAGAGGCTTCTTTACAGACCACACCCAGACAACCCTGAGGTGTAAGTACATTGAACAGTTTACTCAGCTTTGCATTTCATCTCTCAAAACATTTCTGGGTACAGTGTTGTTCACAGAGAGATATGAACCATAAGAAGACCTCTCTCTCTCTCTCTCTCTCTCTCTCTCTCTCTCTCTCCCACTCCTCAGTACTGTCCT